TGGCAGACGATTTAGGAAGTAAAGCAGGATCCTCTGCTTTGTCAACAGTTAACCAACGCAGCCCTGAGTTCTTTAGATTCAGATATATACACACAGTAACTAAGTAGCTAACAGAGGTTTATGTGTTTAAGAACACATGGTAGCTAAATATCAAACAAAGGTTTATATAAAAAGAACACATAGAGGTTTAGTTGGGCCATTAGGAGTAGTTTAAATGCAATCCTATAGATAAAATAGCATATAGAAATTTTGCCTAATTCCAATATACTTATTTGTGCAAATGTTAAACTCATTCATGTTAGGCAGATAATAATGATGTTCATACTTCTGATGATGATGATCACCAACATTTATTAAGTATATACTATGGGGTCAGACACTGTTGTAAGCACTTTATTTTTTTTTTAATTTTTTAAAAGTTTTTATTTATTTATTTATTTAAGTAATCCCTACACCCAACATGGGGATTGAACTCACGACCCCCAAAATCAAGAGTCATAGTTCCTCTGACTGAACCAGGCAGGTGCCCCTGTTTTAAGCACTTTATATGTCTTAATTCATTTAAACCTAACAACCTATGAGGAAGATACTATTTTTTCTTTAAGATTTTATTTATTTATTTATTTGAGAGAGAGAGCACTAGAGAGACCGAGCAAGCACAAGTGGGGGGCAGAGGGAGAGGGAGAAGCAGGCTCCCGAAGTAGGGCTCGATCCCAGGACCCCGGGATCATGACCTGAACCGAAGGCAGACGCTTAACCAACTGAGCCACCCAGGCGCCCCTGTATCCACATTTTACAGATGAGAAAATCCGAGACCTGGGAATATTTAGAAATTTGTCCAAGGACACACAGTTTGTAGGTGAAAGAGCTGAGATTTGAATTCAGGAAATTTGTCCATGTGGCCTGCACTGTCACCTGCATTTGTCTCTTAGACATTGCTTTGGCTTCTATCCTCTACCACCTGTACCTTAGGCTGGGTCCCTGGGCTTGGTCCAGGTATTTCCATCTTTCCACGTTCAGTCCTTTTCCCTCTCCCCTCATACACAAGTCCTTGATGCTTTTTCCCCACCCATCCTTTTGTACCTGACGGGTCCCATCCACTAGAGGGCGCGAGGAACAGAAACTCAGGGACTGCAGAGCCATCCTGCCAGGACTGCGAAAGGGGCTTGATAGGGAGCAGAAGCTCCAGAGGAATGGAGGCAGTAGGCGGGGTGCTCTCTGGGGACTGAGGGAAGGGATGAGCACGGGCCAGTGAGGTGAATTTGAACTCAGACATGACGAGTGGCAGGTGGGCAGCTTCTGCTGGGAGAGCCCATCGTATATATTTACAGGTTTCCGTTGCTATCTGAAAGTCGAGTGTTCCAATGAAATCTTTCATAAGCTGAAATGGCATAAAGTGGAGAAGCAATTACAAATAATTTATATGGAAAAAAATTTTGAGCATTCCCAGACTCAAGAAACAACCTCTCTTAGGCTTTTCTGATACCTTTGGAACATCTTCCTAACGATGCGCAGACTAAATCAAGATAAAGTACAGTTCAGAGCTGTGGGGCCTGATGCTGAGACACTGGGCATAGTTGGCAGGGAAGGAGCTTGGCGGGGCCACTTTCACTGCCTCTGTAACCCCTCACTGCAAAACAAATGCTGAATGCTATTTTCACTGGTCACCTTTGTGGGGTTTTTTTCACCCCATAAAAGTGAAAATCTTCTTTGGGTTTATTTTAATTAGCGAACACAAGTACTGAGGTTTTCCATAAATGCGGAAGTGGTGTGATGTGAACTTGGAAAAGCAGATGATGCCTGTATTTCCCTCTCCCCACAAGGGAGTGGGGAAGTTGGGAAGGACTAGAGAACAGTGTGGTGGTGGGTGGGAAACCAACTTCCAGCCCCTCCATGCTCTGTACAGTCTGGTTTCCCCAGACTCAGGGGCTTTCAGAAAGGACAGTGAGAAGGTTTTACTGTTGTCCCCCATTCCCCTCCCCAATACCATCCCATATGCCTAATATTCTAACAACGGAACATTTGGGTCTCTTACTTAAGCTGGGGTTCTGAGCGATGTACAGATTAGCATCATGAATGGTCAGAATTTCTGTTTGGATAGTGCAGGGGACATCTGGAGCAAATTTTAAGGGGTCTTCCCTCTGATTGATATAACCTCATATTTACTGATGACAAATTTCCTGTTCTTAAGAGTTGAATACCAAGTAGGATGCATAGTCAAGTAAGGCTTATTGCTTTTAAATTAGGACTTGAGCTATGAGCATAGAGATTTGTTTTGTTTGTTACCCCCAGGTCTAGAACAGTGTAAATTGTTCAACTAAAATAAGAATTTCATGGATGTATCACTTTCACTTTAAAGGTAAAGCTTTGCCTATTGATTCGTATAGATAACGTGTACTTTTCCTTAATGATGATGATACTTTATTAACCAGCTCATTTGAGCCCAGAGCTCTGGTCAATTTACCTAAAAGATTCCAGGGACCTGTCGGTTCTAAGAGACATCTGTGGTGATGTGGACAGAGCGCTGGGCTGGGAATCAGAGATCTGTTTCCCTTAGACTCTCTCTTCTTTGTGTGCACTACTCGGCTGGTCACTTCTCTGAGCTGTCAATTTCCTCATCTGTAAAAAGGCCATTACTGATTTTATAAAATCAGGACTCTGGTGAGGATTACAAAATGAACACTGGTTGCCAGGCAAAGCTCAGATTTTAGATTAATCTAATCCTCTGCTCCTTTACGTGGGTTGCTGAACACGCTGGAGCAAACCATTCAACCGTGAGCACTGGTGCAGCTGCAGACTTCTGAAATCTAATATCATCTGGACCCACTGGACTCTCCATTTGCAAAGCCTATTACATATTCTCATTTAGCACTCACTTTGCTTTCCTACAATGATTATTCTAACCCTTGGCTATATTTAAAGTTCTCCATATCCCTTTCCTCTAAGAGTTAGTTTTGTTTTCAGTTATACAGAAAAAAACCCCCAAAAAACAAAAAACCACCCAGAAATAAAAACCAAAGCTATATAAAAAAAGAATCTATAGCATGTTATCAATTCTTGAAGTAAAAAAGCATGGAAAAAAGACTAGAGTGAAATATGCCAGAATGTAAGCAGTGGATTTTTGTTCCTTCATACTTCTCTGTGCTTTCCCAGTGTTCTGTTGCAACATGTATTACATGATGTTTGCAAAATGATGTAAAAATAATGAAACAGAAAAGCTACAATTTGAAGAGCTACCACCCACCTGTTGATTTATCCCCCATCCTATTCTCCCCTATCCTGTTCCCACCCTGAATGAAGGGGTCTCTCTCTCTTTCCCCATCCAGTGCTAATCTGATTATCTGTGCTATTAATTCCATATTCTCTTGACTTCTCAAGGATCTTGCATTGGCATTATTAGATAACCTTTCCCTCCACATTCAACCTCCCATTCCTTTTTAGCCTTTTTGTCTGTATATAAATATGCATAGTCCTCTCCTGTCTTAGCAAACGAACTCCCCAAGCTCTAACTCTACCTTGACTCCACTCTTACTCTAGACCCATATCTGTTTTTCCTTTCATAGCTTAAATTCTAGAAAGAATCTGAATTCTAATTTCTAAATCCTCATCTCAACCCACTGCAGTCTGGCTTCTTCCCTCACAACATCCTTAACATTGCTCTTGCCAAGATCTCTAGTGACATAGTTGTCTCATTTCAGTCTTAACCTTATTTTTCTCTTCATACTTTGTTCAGTACAAATACTGCTACTTCTGTGAAGTCCTCCTTGATTTCTCCCAGGGAAGGCTCAGATGCTTTTGCTTTTTCCCCTGTATTCTCCTTGCCTTTTGTATAATTGTTTTATTGTACTCTGATTTGTGTATTTCTATTTTAGATTATAAGGTTCTTGGGGCAGGCAATACAACTGTTTTTTAGTTTTTTTTTTTTAAAAGGCTGTGAAATATAATGCACACAGAAATACATTAATTAAAATTTAGAGCTAATGAATAATCATAAAGTGAACACTTGTGTAACTATTACGTAGGTCATGGCATGGAGTATTTTCAGTAGTCCAGGAGCCCCACCTATTCCCCTACTATCTTGGGTTTATGACACTTACTTCCTGGGTTTCCTTCATAGTTGCACTGCCTGGATATGCATTCCTAAACAAATCGTTTAGTTTTAACTGCACTTGAACTTTTTACAAATGCCGTCATGTCATGTGTTCTGTTCTGTTTTGCTTCTCTCGTTGAATATTGTATTTGTATGATCCATCCTCATGGTTGTGTGTTATTATATTCCTTCATATTTCTTGCTGTATAGTGACGTTTTGTTACATGAACTTACAACATGCAGTGCATCCAGTAATGGACATTTGGTTTATTTCCAGTTTTTGGCTATTATGATGCTTCAAATGTCTTGTACACTTCTTTTAGTCCCCGTGTGCTTGAGTTTCTTCAGGGTGTAGATCCAGGAATAAAATTACCTGTTACAGGATGCGTACATCTTCAACATCTACAGGATGCATATGATGGCAAACTGTTTCTCAAAGTAGGTTTCACAATTTACATCCCAACCAGCCGTGTAGAGTGCCCATTGCTCTCTATCTTTGCCAACATGTGGTAGTATCGGACTTCTAAATTTTTATCAGCACAAATGGTGTAGAGTAGTATTTTACTATGGTTTTAATCTGTATTTCCCTCTTAGCAATGAGGGTGAACACCTTCATATGTTTATTGGCCAGCTGGATTTCCTCTTTAGTGAGGGGCCCATTCAAGTTTTGTTCACTTTTTTAGTGGGTTGCTTGTCTTTATTTTATTGCTTTGTAAAAGTCATTTTACATTTTGGATATGAGTCCTTTGAAAAGAAATTATACTATAAAATCATACACATTGAAGATTTATTGATTACAGTATTTTTTATTTTTTTACTTTAAAACTAATGAGTAGAAACAGAATAATTAGAAAACAAATTATAGTATATGTAACTTCACTTAATCCTGTCCTTCCCTTCTTCTCTCTAGGTGTTATTATTGTCCCCAGTGCTGGTGTTGGTATTGTCCTGGGAGGCTACATTATAAAGAAATTGAAACTTGGTGCAAGAGAATCTGCCAAATTAGCCATGATCTGCAGTGGTGTGTCTTTACTGTGTTTTTCAACCCTATTTATTGTTGGATGTGAAAGTATTAACCTAGGAGGCATAAACATCCCTTATACAACAGGGTAAGTATCTCGAAAGAGCCATTTCATGTTATTCTAATCATGAATGAAGTGCAAAGCCCTATAGTGTTGGTACCCTAGGGTCGAACTAGCGTTCCCCCAACCAGGGAGGTCTCCCGTGCACGTTTCATCTCCCCAAGCTGGAGCACGCATGCATGGAGGGCAGGGACGATGGTCTCTCCTTTGTCAATGTTCCTTTCAAGCCTCACAGAGTGTTTCCCATAGTATTTTGGTTACAGCAGATGAGGAAATGCTTGTTGGGTTAATGAAAAAAAAAAATGTAACCATATAGCTTGGAGATCTTTCTGTGCCAATAATAATAATAATACAAAGCATAGCTAACCCTTATATTGACACTCTTCTAATGTTTTACATATATTAACTCATTAATCCTCATGACAACTCTATCAGGTAGGTTCTATTATTATCTTGATTTTACAGATGGCAAAACTGAGGTACAGAACACACATACTGGTGGTATGCTGATAATATGTAACACATGGCTAAGAAAAAAGTTCCCATCTGTAGCATTTGCCAATTTCGAAGGTGTAAATATCCCTACCATGGCTGATTTCAAGCTAACAACGTGAAGATACTGAACACCAAGCTGGGAGGAGATGCCCAGTCACGTACCATTATATAATATTTCTCTCATACAGGTATTTAGACCTAAATAGCGTAGTCAAGACATAGGTAACAGTATAGTAAAATAACTAGGAGGTGATGAATTGAGTATTTATTATCTTTGAAATAGTTATTTAATTATAAGCTTATGTAATTTAATTTTTAATAATTGCTGTGCTAAACAAACAGTTGACAAAATCCTTGAAAATTGAGGATTTTGTGACCCAGGGTGACTATGCTGCATGTTACATAGAACTTAATCCAGACTTAACCCCAAACAATTCAGAGTCCATGCTTTTAAGCACGCCTTAAAAAAAAAAAAAGAGTTTATTCATTTATTTGAGAGAGAGAGAGAGCATGAGAGGGGGTCTGGTTGGGTCAGAGAGAGAAGCAGACTCCCTGATGAGCAGGGAACCTGATTCGGGACTTGATCCTGGAACTCCGGGATCAGGACTTGAATTGAAGGCAGTCGTTCAACCAACTGAGCCACCCAGGTGCCCTAAGCACTCCTTTTAAAAAAATTTTTTTTATTTTATTTAAATTCAATTAATTAACATATAGTGTAATATTAGTTTCAGAGGTAGAGTTCAGTGATTCATCAGTTGCATATAACACCCAGTGCTCATTACATTACATGCCCTTTTTAATGCCCATCACCCACCTATCCCTTCCCCCGCCCCCCTCCCCTCTAGCAACCCTGTTTGTTTCCTGTGATTAAGAGTCTGTCATGGTTTGTCTCCCTCTCTGATTTCGTCCTATTTTATTTTTCCCTCCCTTCCCCTATGATCCTCTGTTTTGTTTCTTAAATTCCACATATGAGTGAAATCATATGGTTTTTGTCTTTCTCTGATTGACTTATTTCGCTTAGTATAATACCCTCTGGCTCCATTCATGTCGTTGCAAATGGTAAGATTTCATTTTTTTGATGGCTGAGTAATATTCCATTGTATATATATATATATCACATCTTCTTTATCCCTTCATCTGTTGATGGACATCTGGGCTCTTTCCATAGTTTGGCTATTGTGGACATTGCTTTAAACACTCCTTTTAACTGCCTGTAACATTCCATTTAATTCTATTTGTAAGTTAACCAGTCCCCATTTGAAAGGCAGTTTCCCATCTTTAGTCGTTAAAAATCATGCTGCAATAAATAACTTCATGCATATGTCACTTCTCCTGTGTGCCATGTATTTGTAGGATAAATTTCCAGAAATGAGATTGCAATGAATTTTGCCAAATTTACTCCCCAGGTGTTGTATTAATTTGCCCCTTCACCAGCAGTGGATCTGAGGATCAATTTCCTACATGCTTTCTAAAAGAAGGTGGAAAATTCTTCTTGGAGTGTTAAGAAAACCATAACTTTTATACATTTGGGTTTGTTAGGATCTGCTCATTGGACAGAACTCCAGTGCCTAGATTTTGGTGTTTGCTGTCAACAAGCACAGTTTCCTTTTGATTTTTAGTGGAGTTTTATCTTATAAAATATTCCACTTGAAATTTGAAAAAGAAAAGCTTTAATTTCACTTAGCCAACCTAGAACATCAGGGAAAAAAAAAAAAGAGGAACTGCCAATCAGAGCTTATGTAGATGACAGAATATGGTCACTTGTCTCAAGAATCTTTTTTTCATCAGTAGATGTGTGTCTGGGTGATGCATGTACTGATACATAGCTTCTTTTAGTGCCTAATAGAATGGCATAGGAAATAATGTGTTTAAAAATTTACGGGCGGTATAGACTAGGAGCCCAGATTCCTGAGTTAAATCTGATTTTGCATCTTCACCCTGCTTGGCCACTTACTTAACTGTAAGCCTCAGTATCCTCATCTGTAAAATAGGGTGATGAAAATAGTGTCTTAGTCCCCCTTCGGGCTACTGAAATAGAATAGTATAGACTGGGTGGCTTAGAAACAACAGAAGTTTATTACTCACAGTTCTGCAGTTGAGGATCAAGGTACCTGCAGATTTGGTGTCTTGTGAGGCTCCACTTCCTGGTTCATAAGTGGCCATCTTTTTCCCTGTGTCCTCACGTGGTGGCAGGGGTGAGGCATCTCTCTAGAGTTCCTCTTATAAGGGCACCGATCCCATTCATGAGGGCTCCACCCTCATGACCTAATCACTTCCCAAAGGCCCAGCCTCCAAATACCATCACACTGGGGGTTCGTTTTCAACCTATGGATGTTGCAGGGACCCAAATATTTAGTCTATAGCAATAAGAATCACTTGAGAAGCTACAGGCAAGGATAGTATGAGTAACGTGTAAAGCTCTCAGCTCGATGCCTGGCCAACAGTAAGTGCTCACTGAAAGTTAGCTCTTGTTATCAGTCATCACTAATAAATTAAGAATAATTTCCACTTCTATCGAATTATTTTTATTACAGTTGGAAAACAAATAGAATTAAGAAGTTAGAAGCAAAAAACCAACAGTTTCCTGACCAATCCTGCTTCCTAGGGCAATAATTTTAAATTCTTCTTAGCTGTCTCTTCTGGTATTCACCTCTATATTTTTAAGACATAATGTATAAATTAACCAAACTGGGACATTATTTATGACTTCCTATCTTAGTAAATGAGGAGTGCAGCTTTCTTTTCATATATTGTGGTCAAATCCTTCTTTGATATTTCTTGTGTTTGATTATGTCAGTGTTATTAACAGCTGAGACACAAGTAGTGTGTCATGAGGAGATTTCCTCTTTTGTACAGCATTGATTTTCCTGGAATTTGTGATTGTCTTATTTTCATTATCTTTGTTTTCTCTGAATGTGTGTCTGGCTTCCCATAGTCTCTGAGGGCTCAAAAGATCTCACTGTGATGTTTCACCTGTCTGATGAACTCATGATTCCACTTTCCAGCCCTTGGAGTCTTCTAAATCGGAGCCCTGGTGCCCATGCTCTAATCTGGACACAATGCTCTCTGGTCCTGCTGCCCAGCTGTCACCTTTGTTCTCTGGGCTCCGTGGATGCCTCTTTTTTGGCTCCTCCCTCATTTTGTGAGAGAACATCCTCCAGTAGCTAGAAGAAGGCTAGACAGGCTGTCACTTTTTTGTTTTTGAAGATTTTCCATGAAATAGCTTTAAAAAACTATCATATTTGACTGTCAACTTGAATGGGTAAAGAATTTTAGATTGGATGAATCATTTTCACTCAGAATTTTGAAGTTATTACTCCATTATCATCTGATTTTTCATGCTGTTTGTGGGAAGTCTGGCCTTTCTTTTTGCCAGTCTTTCATATCTGCCCTATTTTTCCTTTCTAGGAGCTTCCAATTTATGCCTGGTATTCCTGAATTTCACCATGATATATACTTTGGAATTTTTTTCCCCCCTCTCCTGAGCACTTAGCTTTATTGTCTGGAAACTGTGTCCTTTAGTTCCATTTTTTTTTTTAATTTAAATTTTGTTATTTTTTTTTCTCACTGCTTTTTCTCTTCTCTCTCCTTCATTGGTCCTCTACTTATTCTTTATCATCTATTTTATCTCATTTTTTGTCCTACTTTTTGGAAAGGTTTCTTCAGCTTTATTTTTTCAGTCTTCCGCTGAATCTTTATTTTGGATATTGTATTTTTAATTTCCACATTTTGTTGTTGTTGATTTTTTATGGTTTCTTGCTTCTAGTCCTCTTGCTTCATGGGTGGAATATCTTCAGTTACTTCTCCAGCATGATTGAGAGTTTCTTTTCCTTCCTGAATTGTCTATGTCCTCTGAATACCTGCTGTCTATTTATTTTGCTGTCTCAATTATGTTGGAAATTTCCTTTACATTTTGGTGATCCTTAGCTTTCTCTTAGTGTTGAAGAACACGAATTTAAGAAGCTGAGTAGGTGCTCTGTGTCTGATGGCAGAGCTTGTCATTTGGTTGATCTCCCTGTCGGTAACGGGAGGGCTGGAAATGGCATTTTCATTGGGGTGCTAGGTGTCAGAACCCAAGGTCTTACCTCTGGGGTGCTTTGGCTCCTCAGGAGCAGGATTCTCCTGTCTCTTGGCTGTGGCTGTATTGGGGTGGGTTCAGGGTTGTTAGCCTACCTGCTGTCATTCTAGAGCTGGGAGTGTGGGCTGGTGATGAGAAAGAGCCTGGGTCCTTCTGTTCATTCTGTAGAGTTTTACCTAATTCCCCTGCCACCATTCTAGCGTCTCACCAAAGGGCTCCTTTATGTGTGATGCTCTTAAGTCCAGAGCCTTTGGTTCATTTTCTCCAGAAAATAGAGAGGTGGAGGAAAGAGTAGTCACCCATTATCTAGGGTGGGGATGGGCATCTGCTTAAAACTGTATCATATTTGGACCACACTATTTCTTGTGTTGTCTGTCCCTCAGTTCAAACGGCCTGTTCTTTCCCTGACTACTGGCCTTTCCCATGCTCATGTATATTTTTTAAGTTTTCAACA